GCCAGTTTTTCCAGAAGAATTCTGTGGGAAACTGTGTCAAAGGCTTTGCTAACACCTAGACAATGTCCAGTTGTGCATTCCTCAATCAGAAGACCATTTGTATTTAAAGATACTGATTTTTGCTTGTCAGTTCAATGTTTGCTAAGACAGATTGTAAAGCACCAATTTATGATTGTGATAGTAACCATAAGCTATTAGGAACATTTGATGTAGGAGGGGACTGTTGTCCGTGTTTTGTGCCAAATTTTCACTTGGCCTCTATTAAAGTGATTAACTTTGTCAGGAATTATCAAAATTAAGAGATGATCAGAAGATCAAATGGGCTATCTATTCATTTACACCTCTGACTGGAACCTGTTCTCTTCCACTGACTTGACAAATCTCCAAATATTTTGAGCATTTTTACCTCCAATACCAGGCCCAGTCTTGCAATCTTCACATCCATTGTTTTACAGAGGTAAATGGAAGTGCTTCTGGGATGGCATCCAAAGGGCTGGGTGTCAAGCTGAGAGACAGGCCAGTGATAACAAAGTTGTGTTTAAAATACCATATTGCTGTCACGAGTTGCTGCAGCCTGAACAGCACCACAGAGCATGGCACTCTTGATCCTCCTCTCCTAAAATACACCCCCAACCTAAAATACACCTTTTTGTAAAAAACATGCAAGACAACTCTGCTGTGAAATTCTAAGCTAAAGCACTCCTTACACTGGTACAATTCCCACTAACTATTCACAAATATTTTGGATGATATCTGGTGCATGTTTAGGTTCCAGTGTCCATTTAACAGAATTATTCAAGTTAAAGAAAACCAGGAGGCCTCCTTTACTTGGCCAAGGGAGCTAAAGTGCTTCAGATCAGCTTGCAGTTTTGTCCTGAATGCTCGTGTTTGCCCCCCCTTGGATCCAGTTCTATTGCACTCAGTATCCACTACATAATACTGGAGAAAAGAAACTCATTAATTTAGGAGTTTAATACCATTTAACCCTGTTTGTCCTTGAAAAACCATTCACCAGCATTAAAGGGGTAACAGGGTAAGTGCGAATATCTCTTTGCCAACCAGTTTATTTCCAGCAGCAGACCAGAAGGGATAGGAGATGCAAACAAAGGGATAGGAGATGCAAACAGTTTACAGGGCAATACAGTAAAATATGGCTTGTGTCATGATACCAGCTTTAGAAAAATTAATATGAATGTTTATGTTTTGCTTCATTTTTAAGGCATCTTTGGGGAAAGCATGAAGAAATCGGTGACATTTCATTGCTTTTAATAATTTGATTTCACAGACACTTCGTAACTGGTTTTTTATATTTAACCTTGAAAATTGTTTGACTTAGATTTTGGGTCAGAAATGCCACGCACTGCATATTTGCTTTCTCAAACATGATAACAGCTGGAAAAGAGCAAGGCCTTTCCTGGCAGGGGGAATAAACCTCTCAGCCGTGAACTGCATCTCTCAGCAGTTTGTCCTGTGCGTGTCTTGCATCACATGCTGTCGTCTTGCAGTCGTGAGTCACTTGCTTCAGCTCCCACTGCTCCAGGGATATCGGCTTGGCAAAACCATGCAGCTTATTCCCTCATTCCCCAGGGAAATGTGCACACAAAGCAGTGGGAAGCCAGGCCACTGCTGTGCTGGAAACAGAACAGATTTGCATTTGAGTTCAAGCTGCAGGGTGTACATGCTAAGACGGATACCACATCTATTTCTAGGACTGTTACCTGGGTAGTGGTAATTTAATTTTGTTCTTTTCCTTCAGTGGTTGCAAAAAGGTTTTACTATTTTAAGTTAAGCTTTGGAAACCTGAATGAAATACAGTAAGTTCAGAAATGAGCTACTTAATTTTTCCAGTTACTCTAATTTCACTAATAAGCAAAATAGCAGTAATATTAGAGTACAGATTTAAGGAGTCTGAGAGGGGCTAGTTCTGTCCCAGGGTGGAAATTCCTTTCTAATTTGATCTTTTCTTTGTTATTAGAGGACAATTCTCCCCCCTCCTGTAGCTTTGACCATTGTGACCAGTTGTCAAGCCTAACCTAAGTAGTTCTGGAAGTGTCATGGATTTTCCTCTTTAGTACAAAAATACAATGGTAGGATGAAGTTAGCAGATGTTAGTGGGACCAGGATTTCATACCAGACTTTCAAAATTTCATCAGGAGTTTCAGAGTGATCCTGAGCATGCTAGATTTACCATTTACTGGTACAGCATTGGCTTAGCTCCCAAAAGGTCTCCAAAAAAAAATAGAGAAAAGAGAAGCCTAAAAGCACACACACACACAAACACACACACACACAGAGAGAAATTCAATTCACACAGATAGCCAAAGCTGCAAAAATTTGAATGAACACATTAATCATGAGGTTCCATTCTTGGAATGTGAATAATGAACAGTTCCTTTCTGGAACCCGGGCTAAGATCCTCTCAGCAAATAGCAGCGATCCAAAGGCAGTGCCCCAACACTCTGGGAAAAGCAAAAGGGATAAAATGAGAACCCAGCTACAGACCATTACTATAACATGAGCAGAACAGTTCTGTATGTGACATAGAGTCTGAATTTACACTTCTGGAAAGGGAGGGCCAGAAACCAGAACATTTTTTTGACTCAGTCTCCCGCCTAAATTAATGCAAGAGGCTTCATACAAGATTATTTCTTATGAGAACCTTTCATCTTTGTAAATTTAATATTCTGGGATTGAAGAACAAAGAACTTTTACATAAAAGTTACCAACACAACGTAGTGAAAAACACAAGAAATTTTTCTTTAGGAACAAGATTTTTCTCCAGGAGCAAGATTTTCTTCAGGATAACTGACAACCTCTATAATGAAATAAACTGACAAGAAAGATATGAAGATTGCATGAGATAAATGGGCAGAAATTAAAAAGTAGCCATCTGGTTCTGACAGATACTTGAGCTGTGTAACAATATCAGCAGCAGTGCTAAGTTCCTTGGGCAGCTGATATCATTGCCCACAGCTGGTTAGAAATAATCAGCAAAAACTTCTGTACCATGTGCAAGCCCTGAACATGCCAGTGGCCAACTGCAAATTCCTGTGTCTGGCTTTGCAGTGCAACACAATGTTTTCTACTCTTGGCAAGCAACTCCATGGAGCTCAGCCCCTCAGTGGCCAATTTTGCAGCTTGTGAACAACAAAGAGCAATTTCTTCCCCTCTTGCCAGAAAGGGCTCCTGAGTGGATTTCTAAGGAAGAAACAGTGGGCACTGTCTGGTCTCTGACTACTGGAAAGCAGTGCAGACCTCCTGAATTATTCCTGTCCTTCCCTTCAAAGGGATTAACGGCAGGGAAAGACTTGAGCGCTTTCTTTTCAGAAATAAAATTATTCCATACAATATTCTGCAGAGACAAGTACACATTATTGGATTACACAAGTGTTTACAGTTTTAGCCTCCGTGTTATAGCAGATGTCTCCAAGATGCTTTACCACAGTGGCAAAGCCTGTGAAAACATGGATCTGCTCCCTAAACTGAGACAGGAATTCACTTCCCTGAAAAGTCTAACTCTTGGCACTTCCAAGTTTTTTTCACAGATCTGTCTCAACAAGGTGGGATTTAATCAGGGATTCTCTCCACATCCCCACTACTTAGTAGTAAAGAGCAACATTTCCTCACAAAGAGCTAATTTAGTATTGTATCCTCCTTTAGGCAAGATCACAGAGAAGGGCCCAGGCTGGAGCCTGACCAAGCCTTCATTGAACTTAAGCATTCAACAGCAGAAGGAAATTCTAAGAAATATTATTGGATTTAGAGAAGTCTGGCTTTTTTTGTCATTAAGAAGATCTTGAACTCTTTTCATCCCTTCAGTTTAATTCTTTGTCTTTCTGACTCCGTATGCATATTTTTGTGCTGAGTATTACATTCACCAGCGTGTTAGCTCCGATCTCTCATCTTCCCACTGGGAAAGCTCTTGGTCCATGTAGGCCCCGGTGTGCCCAGACCCCTGGGAGGCTTTGGACACGGTCCCACACGACATCCTGATCTCCCCACAGGAGAGCCCTGGGTTTGGAGGGTGGGCAACTCGGGGGATGAGCAATTGGATACATGGATGTAGACATGGAGCTGTGGCCAATGGTCCTTGTCCAGGGACAGGCTGAGGACGAGGGGGTCCCTCAGGGCTCGGCCTTGGGACCAGGGCTCTGCAATGTCTTTACCAGTGACACAGACTTGACCACAGTGACTGTGCAGCCATCAGGTTTCAAATCTCTGGTGCCTTCCTCCCAAGATGGATCAGGCACAGGCCAGCATGACTGGAAAAGCAGCATCTTTCATTAACGTGTCCATGGATGAAGCCACCTCCTGTCGTTCCCTCAGGGCCAGCCTCTTTTACAGGACTGTGTTCTGAAGGAAATTGGTTCCCATTTTACCTGGAAGTTTAAGTTTTAACTTCAGTAGCGCCACCAGTATGGATAGATCAGTTTTCTTTGTCTGAATAATTATTTCTGCATTTCTGAAAATTCTGTGCCTGGCAGGAGATCCAGATTAGTTTTTGTAATTGATCCTGAGCAGGTGCAGGACCTGTCAGCACCTGAGGTGGGGATGCAGCTCTCTGTGGGATTCCTGTGTATACACAACTCCATGGGGCATGCTGATGGTAACAAACAGGCCAACAGCTTTCAGAGTGTCCATCTCTTACCTGCTTTGGCTCTCTGTAGTACACATCTTGCCATGTTATCACTCCACTTAACAATTTTCATTGTCAAGCAATGACTGTGTGTGATCTACCTGCTTCTCCTGAGCAATCTTTTAGGTGCTGCTGTCTATGGCGAGCAGCTCAAGGTGTATGAACAGGTATATCCAAATGCAAACCTACTCCTAATATGTCTGAGTCTTCATCAGTTTGGGCTTTTTATACCATAAAAATAAAATAAAGAGAGAGAGAGGGCAGGTGCACATGGGCAAGAACAACTTTTTTTTGTAATTTCAAGTGGCCCCCCAGATGCTACCCTCCCATCTCCAAAATTTACAGATTTAACCAACATACAATCTCCACAAAAAATATGGTTTATTGGTCTAGATTAAATGATGTCAATGCTTAGACACTGTATTTGTATTAACAATGCTCTTGCAGAGGTACATCAAATGATATTTTTCTGCCTGTAATTAAAACTAAGCACAGGTAATAAATGTCAAAGGGCGCTTGATGCTTTCCAAGTCACGTAGATTTCATAGACTACAAAAGACCTTGCATATCCAATAATTTAAATACAACTTCAACATTTTGCCTTGCTGAATTCATTTTGTGCTTTTGAGTTCTCTCGAAACTATAAGGAATTATCAACTGTTAAAGAGTTTGAGAAAGTTGATCAGATTTGTAACAAAAACGTAGAGACAATCATTATAAAATACTGTCCTTTAAAAGTTATGACACATTAGTTTTGACTCAGAGCATAGCTGGCAGCTGGAAGGATGGGATAACACTGAAAAAAATCTATGAAGCAACATCAAACAGATCAGATGAGGTTTTCCTTTCTCTTTTCCTATCAATACATCTCTCCTTACAGTGCCATTGTGTCTGTGCAGTGGATATCCCAGATGTTACATTTCTTTCTCATTTGTTTTTGTCTTCAGTGTTTATTGGAATTGTCACTATCCAAATATTTTGGGTAATTTGTATTCAATTTTAACCCACCAGGGCTGACTAAACTGCACTGACAGTGAGTTTTGTTGTAAAGTTGTCCTGAATGAAATTCCAGACACTACTGAAGACAATACACACTATATATGTAATATTTACAAAACATTCCACCAGATTCATGGCACAGATGGATTACAGATGAATCCCAATGAGCAATCACATCACTAAAATTATAGATCAAAATCTGACTGCCATTTCTGGCCTCTCCATTTAACACCGTGGCCAACAAAATATTTGTACAAGCAACAGGTTCAATGGATCCACCATCAACAGAAAAGGATCCAGACAACCATTCAAATACATTTCCATCATAAGTTATATGTATTAAAACCAAAACAAGCCCAAACCAAACTCCAGTGTGTCCTGATACTGGATTTTTCTGTGCACACCAGATCCACTGACTGATTGTTTGCATCGGTATCCTTGGAGGAATGTGGCATCTTCAACCTAAGGCATCAGCAACCATGCACATACAAATGCTTTTATGCATATTCCACAACAGACTTTTCACCCACAGTACAAAATAACAGTACAACATATTGAACAGGCTGTTACACCCTACTTACCATCACCTCGTTTAAAAAAAAAAAAATAAAAAAAAAATCCATTAGGCTAATATACAATGAGAATTTTTTTAAAACATAAAGGAGCAATACTTGCTCAAACAAGTATCATTAATTTTATCAGTGTATTCTCCAGAGTTCTTTATTGATCAGTCAAACAAATACAGCCTAAACCAAACCCAAAACCAAATGAAATTCAGTCCTTCACTGTAAGTGAGAAAAGACAAGAGCAAAGTGACTTTCTGGCAGTACCACAAACCATGGACTGTTGCAAACTTAGTGCAAGAACTGGGACGGATGAGAATTGACCAGCTGAGACCAACCAGCGATCTGCAAGCACACCAGTATTTTGAAGCAATTCTAGATAAGCTACAAAAGAACAGTTTCAATCCAGTTGCTTAAGAGGAGTCATCTGGCAGAGGACAGTCAATAACAAGGACTGGTAAAAACCAGTATTGAAATATGCAGATAAGACACCAAATGTAACTCTGCTGGCTGAAGTAGCTAAATAAACATTTATCAGTTTATTTAACTGATAATCCAGTTACCATAAGACAAGGGAATGAAGCAGGTTCACCCTCTCTCTTGCAGAATCCCAGAAGTAACTAGTGGGAAACTTCAGGAACAACTTTGCTCTGGCACCAGGCTGTGCCTTCAAGCTGAGCTCTAATGTAGAGATCTGCTGCAAAGCCTTTGCCTCATTTGCATTAGCAAAACTTCAAAAAAAAAAAAAAAAGTCAAATCTTCCAATCATATCCAAAGAGTTTTTATTTTCATTTGCTCTCCCCTTCCTCACTGTTCCCCCTAAGAGAACATTACCGGTCTCTCATGGAAAGGCACCTCATTCTTTACCAAAAAGCAAAGAAAAAAACCAAAACATGCAGAGTAGCAATAAAATACCCAAATAATAAAAACTTAACGCCAAGAAACGCTGCTGACAAGAGTTCTTCTGGTTCTACATCAAAACCAAAAACCAAGCTGCCTGGGGCTTCAAAGTTTTACCTGTACTGAGAAGCACCAAACCAGGAGTCCTGTCAGACCTTCAGGAAAGGCAACAGTTGGGAGGCTGGGGAAAAGACCTGGAAATGTCCAAGATTCCTCCTGCACAAGAGCACGATTTCAGTTAGGGCGGAGGGAAGGAGCCAGCTTACAGTGACAGCACAAGCCAGCTTTGGCACTTGTGTTACTGAAAATAATGTGGTGGCTGTCCCCAACTCAGCAGGCAACCAGCTGTGAAGGTTTACTTGCAGCAGTGACCACTTGAGCAGCGAGGCATTTCTTATCCCAGGGAAAGCTTGCTTGCTACCTGTAAAGCTACCCAAGTCCAGCTGTTACTAAAACAGAGACACGAGGTAATCATTATTTCCAGAAGAATTAACAGGATGCCAAGGGTAACACACGAAAAAATGTCAGAGCAAAATTTTAAAATAATGAGCACAAGTAGGCTTAAAATCTACATTGCCTTTTTTTCCTTTTTAAGCCCTGCCCAATGAAAGACAGTTTAACAGCATGAAGTGCAAGTTGTCTTGCACTGACTCAAAAAAAAAAAAAAAATCACTGGAACAATCAAACCCTGAACATTCCTTAATTAAATGGACAAGTCTCTTGGGAATGACATGGGCAGAGACCATACTTTTTGTAGACCAAACCTGAGCAGAGACTGGATTTTGTTTCTTTTCTGTAAATACACAAAACAGGTATTTCAAGATACAGCTGAAGTGGTTTCAAAATAGCGATGACCCAGGTCACAATCAGAATTTTGTATATACAATCTGTATTTAACTTAAAAAAATAAAGAAGTTCAAAATACCTCCAGAGAACATTCTAGCTTAGCAAAATGTCCTGTACAAAAGTAGGCCACATCTGTCGGTTTAAAAGAAGTCCACAGCAGTTGGTCTCTTCTTAGCTGACACAGTAAATGGTTTCTTCATCTGGGGCTCTCTCGCTGGGGTAACTGTGGGTGACTTCAGCACCCCATGACGAGGTTTCTGTTCAGGGTTGAAAGCCACACGGGAGGGTCCCTCTGGGCTCACTAATATACTTTTGTCAGTCTTTTTAAATTCTGTTGAAAAACAAGCCAACAAGTTAAAAGAAACGCAGCTCCTGGAATAACTGGGCCCACCAATCAACTGTGGAACTGCCCAGCCCTGTAAGCCTGCCCTAGAATCCTTAATTCCACTAAGGATCAGAAGCCTAAGGCTGCAGAGAAAACGAAGAGATGGTGGTGAAGCACATCTCTTTATCAGAGTCCCTTGGAGAACAGGGTCTGCTGCAACCCACTGAGAGGCTGTGAACCATTCCTGTGGTTCCACAGACCACCAGAGACTCTGGGCCTACTCCTGAGACACAAGTGTTCCAGCTATCCCGAAGCACACCACACTTAAACAAAATTGTTTAAAAATGATGATGGCTAAGAAATGTCTCTGGCTGTCGAACAGCACTGCTCTAGTGTCTCAAGGTCATTCCTTCTGCCAGCAGAGAGGCACTTACCTATCTTTTCGTGCAGCTGTGTTGCATTAACATAAAGACACATATCTAAATACACTGTTCTCCATGTAAACTTGAGTTATTGCACACCTCAGAGAGTTAAAAATTAGCTAAATGAATACATGGAATACAAACCTATGCTATGGAGCAAGTCATTTATTTAACAGGTAAAAAACACTGTCTGCTTACAGAAGGGAAATGACATTTATCTGCTCGTGACCATCAATAAACCACGGGCAGCCAAGATAAAAAGGAAACTTTTTATAACATAGGAGACCATGTTAAAGTCTGGTCTTATCAGCATATCAGCACCTTTGTCCTGGGGAAACAAGTGAGCAATGAAAGCTGTGAAACCCACGTGTTTCCCTCAGAGATGCCCTGCAAACAGGCAGCTCAGGAAGGCGACTCCATCACTGCTGCAGTTTTCCATCTGTGAGGCTCCTTCTGCAGGTCAGCAATGCAGCACCCTGGCATTGCTCAAGTCTAGCTGTTGGGCTGAATGTCCTAAACTTTTCCATCTCCTCTCAAAAGGAACTTGAGGAGGGTTTGTAACCTACGTACAATTACTGCAACAAAAAAGGATCAGAATCATCCTGTTCTAGAGGTGTTCTCTAGGTGTGTGTGAGTGCTTCCCCCTCCCTCAGCCACAAGAGGCCTTGTGGACATACATAGATGCATCAGACTCACCAGCAGTCATGTTTTTATTCAAGCCAAATGTGACTTTTTTGCAGGTGGGTGTCTGCAGCTTGTTCAGCTATAAAACAAAATGGAGACATGAAATAAAATAAGATTTCTGAGGCAATGCTATGAGTTCTTTTAACAGCATCCCACCAGTGTAAAGCAGCCTACTTCCTTCATCTGATTTGGAACTGCCCCAATCCTCTAGCACTGACTCCTGCTAAGACAGCACTGTTTTTCTAGCCAAAAGCAAACACACTCCATTTGTGGAGAGATCACATACTCTCCTTAATGTCATTACATAATTCAACAACAAACAAGAAGATATTTGTGTATTAAATAGAGTGGCCCCACTGCACTCGGGCCTCAAAGTGCTGAGAGGGCTTGAAAAGATATTACATGTTAAAAGGTTCAGAAAAGAGGGCAGTCTTTTGAAGCCCTGTGCTGTTAAAATCTCCACAGGTGGGATGAAATGGAGGTTCAAAGTCCCTTTGCAAGACTGAAAGTCAGTTTATGCTTTTGCTTTCTTGTGAAATGAGCAGATTCAGAATGGTGTGTACTCAACAAGAAAGTACTCTTGAAAGCAGAACGTAGGGAAGAATAGGTTTTAGAGATCCCCTCACCTGCAAGGGTGTCCTGGTGGAAGAGATGGCGCTTCTGGCTTTCCTGAAGAACACTCCCTTTGGTAAAGTTGTTTTCTCAAATTTCACAAAATCGCTCCCTGGTTTTGCTTTCTTTTTCTTTAATGGTGACAGAGCATCACTGCTTTCCTGTGAGGGAGGGAAAGGATCAGTACAACAGCACTGCAATTAACTACACCTAGTACATAAGCTCATTGTCAGGGTTAACTCTTAAGACACAATTTTGCAATTAGCATGACTGAAAGCAGAAATTTAAGGCAAGCTCTGCACAGAAATAGGAAACTGCCAGTGCAAAGCACAGAAGGAAGAACTTGTAATAGATTTGCCAGGTCCATCAGAGTGCAAACAAACAAGCTTTTCTCCACGTGGATGAGGCTGCCTTGCAACTGACCCAGCTCTCCTGCACACAAGTGATTTTTTTTTTCCCTGAGCAGAAGCAAAAACTATTCTGTGGTACCTCTGGATGCATAAGATACACAGCTAATGACCAAACCCACCTTTGGACCAAGACTTTGGAGAAAAAAATAAAGTGGAGTATGAAGTCTTTACACTCTCAGAAATCCAGCTGTTGTGTATTGCAACTAGTTTGCTGCCTCAAATTCATACTCTTGTGGCATTTAAAGTAATTCTTCCCTCCAGCAGAAGGCAATTAGGACCTGTACTGGCAGAGCTTTCTAACATGCTGTCTACAGACTGTGGACCAGTCAGATACCTCTGAACTACAGTCCACAGTTATGCTTTACATCAACCTACAGATGGGAAATCCCAAAAGCAGTTCACTGACAAGCTGTGGAAAATGTCCAGGGGATATGGCCTCTTTTGATTTGTAAATCACTTGTCCTTTAAATAAGGTGAAAAATCACAAGACTTTTAGCTTCCTGAAATTTGGATACACCCGTGAAATAATGCTGATCTTGTCTGGTTTTCCCCTCCTCCTCCTCCCTCTCAGGATTTGAAGCTAACTCTTTGGAGGTGTGTGTTGCCCTTGAAATCAAGAATCAAAACATGCCCCTCATTTTTGGGCACAAGGCCACGATTACACAACTAAAACCAGGAAATAAAACAACATGTTATTTCTCAATGAAAACAAAATAAGCAAAGCTTTATTTCCTCTGCATTTGTGCATTTTAGCTTTACTCTGTGCTCCTCTTTCTTATCCCAGTACTCTCGCTCCCTTCCTGATTCCCAGATAACTCTCCTTCTCTCCATCCCCCTTGCTCCCACACAACCACCTGGGCTGGGGTGGTGCTGCTGCTTTTCCCCTCAGTGCCTACATTAATTTGTGCCAACAACTCATTTCCCTGAAGTTTGCAGGAACTTATCTTGAATCTATTTCAAGTCTTGGAGCCTGCTGGGCAGTTGCAGCAAAGTTTTACAGAAATAGATGGGGGTGGCATAATCCTATTTTCTTAGAAATTACATTTTTATAGACAAAGACAAGGTGTGCAACATGGAATATTTAGGCTACAGGAGACAAAGCCAATGGTTCCTGCTTTGGAAGCCCTGCAGTGAAAGAAATGCAGTGGGGAGAGAGAAATGTTTTGGTTTTTCCTGCTCAGTACCTTACAATCAAAAACCAGAAAATGCCAAAGCTATTTTATTACTATTTAAGCAATGTTTCAAGATGCATTTTTTCTCCCTCGAAGCTCATTTACAAGGCTGCATTACTAAAGTTTAAAACTGTAGGATTAGTTAAGTCAAACAGAGGTGAGCTGACAGGCTAGAAACACGCACTTTTAAGCCAGAGGAAGATGGAGTTGTTTTGTATTCAGTATCTCATTTATGTTTTATGAATCTTCTTTCCACTAAAGTGAGACTGCCAGCAAGACTTCCAAGAATGTAACTGAACCCCTAAAAGTGTTAGGGTGAATATGCACATGGGAAGTGAGCAGTTGAAAAGAACTTCAGTGGCAGGGGAGGGGACAACCCCTGCAGTCTCTCTCATAGCCACACTATCAAAAATATACAGTGAAAAGTGCTTTTTGACTCTCCAATCACTGAGCAAAATCAACCTTATTCTACATATTGCCAAGAAATAAACAGGGGTGGGAGGTAGAGGAGAAAAATAGGTTGTTTCCTATTCCAACCTGCAATGCATACATTCTTGAACCAGACTACAATCAGACCTTCCTAATGAAAAAACACTGTCTTTATAAGAAACTGCACTGCTCACGAATGTGATCATACAGCACTGATGACATTAAAGGTCACAGGATCACATTCTCTGTTCCATCTTCCCCCAAAGGCTTTCCCCAGACAGCCCTCTCGGTTTGTTTAAGATGGAGAAGGGAGTGAGCAAAAGAAGCCACTCCTGGAATTGCTGTGGGCAGTTTCACAAGGAGTTTATACTAATCTAAGCGTGTGCTGCTGCTGCAAAAAGGCCAAAATACACCCTTTGTGAAGATGCTGTGAGACCAACCAGAGACACAGTGCAAAAAAACAATTAACCTAGGGACAAAAAACCCCAAAAAACTAAAACAAAAACAAAGACCAAAAAAAAAGAAAAGAAGACAATCCCATCCTGTAACATCCCAAATTTCAGCTAGATGTGTTATTCAAGCTGAGTATCTGGCACAGGTTTTAGTGTCATTGCACAGGAGGGCAGGAGACTGTAGAAGCTGTGGATTTCTAGGGATAATTGAGCTCTTTTTGGTGACAATGTATGATGACATCAGCATCAAGCCCACGGAGCCCCACGCTCAGGAAGCTAAAGCCAAATTTGAAATTGAGCCTGGCAGCTCATGAAGAAGGCAGAGAAAAGAATGAGATGTACCTACCCCTTTCCTGCTTTTCTTGCATGCAGTCTCCAGAATCCCATTGGCCTCGACAGAGTTCAGCACCTCTTTCACTTTTCTCTTCTTTTTCAAGGTTGCTGCACTGTGACTGGAGACTTTCATCCCTTCCAAGCCAACCAGCTTTGCCTTTGTCTTCAGTGTGACCTTTCCGGAGGGCGCAGATTCAGACCCTGCATTTTTTGGCAGGGTCCCCAGAAATCCCTCCTTGTCGGGTTTCCTGTCACTCTGCTGCAGAAGGGGATCCCCATTCACCAGGACAGCCCCTGCTTTCTGTTTCTTCTTCACAGCCTTAGGAGTTAAGGGTGTGTCAGACGGGCTGACATCCTCTGCTGCCCTGGCATTAGCCGGTCCATTCTGACACGCTGGTTTTGCAGGAACATTCTGTACTTTTGGATTCATTTTCTTCAGCTGACTCTTTTTACTCTGTTCTGTGTAGGTCAGACTGTTCTGTGCAGAGATACTGTGATTTTCTCTGGTATCAGTTGCTACATTTGTGGTCTCATTTGCCTCGTTTAGTAACAATTTCTTTTTCTTCTTCTCCTTGATATTTTCTGGCACCTTTTCCTGGCTAGAAACATTAGATCCAGATGTTTCAGCTGTTCCCTCCTCACAATTTCCATCAGCTGTTCCAGGATCAGCCTTTGGGCTGTCCCTCTTCTTCCTTTTTTTCCTCTTCTTCTGGGGAACTGATGGCATCTTCGCACTTGACAGCTCTTCTTTATCCTCTAAATCCATCACAAAAAGAATACCATATAACACAGATGTGAAACACCAAGTTGCTTACAACAAGTTAATTCTATCCTATTTTTGTTCCTTTCCTTTTCTTTTGAAACAGGTGTACCATTTTCCTGTTATCAGCCTGCACAACAGTTTTACCGTTTCACTAGTCAGGACACTGCAGTCCACTGACATCTGTCCTAATTAGTATTTTGCCAATCCTGCCTTGCCACAACTAACTTCTCAACCATTCCCTGTGGCAACCCTATTTTTTACAGTAGTATTTCTAGAAAGAGTTGTTATTACCCACCTGTTAAGCCCATCAGAAGGGCAACATAGGGGTTCAATAGTTTGGTTGAATATTTTTGGGCATGTCTGGGCACGTTCACATCAGTACAAGCCATGATGCTACAGATACTTGCACCTTGTTCTCAGTAACTCTCTTCACCTTTCAAGAAACACCCCTAAATTCTTCTATTCCAACAGTCATCCTGTTCTAAGACCGACATGTTTCTGTTTTCCCATAGCAAATGCAACTGCTCAAAGGAGCAATGCAAACACCTGCTTCCATTTCTGCTTTAGACAGAAATTTTTGAGGTGGTGCTTGACTCAAAATTGGTCAGAGAATTCCCACCACTTCCGAAGAGAACTTCATTTCACGTTTAACCTTCCTGGCAACAGGATACAAATCAGCACATCCTGAACAACAGTGTTGCCCTCTTCGGAACAGCTCGTAGCTGACACTTTGCCAAACTGCTCAAGTCACTGCAAATTGTCTCTCTTCCAAACGTTGATCTTGCCTTACCTTTTATTTTGTCCAGCTCGTTTTTCTCCCAAGGCTTGACAGATTTTTTCTTTCGCCTTCGCCTGCCGAATTCGTCATCATCATCTTCATCTGGAGAAACATCTTCGGGAATATCCTGGGGGAAGATTCCTGTTGAAGGAGGATAAGGTATCAGGAAACTAACAGTTTTATTTCTGTGAACAGTTATGCTGTTCATACACAGCAGAACTCCCACACAAAGAAAAAAACAACTCCTTTTTCCCCACTCAACCTGAAGGAAACTTGACTGATTGCTATTTGTTAAAGTAAAAATAATCATCTTTCATTTAAGGACAAAGTACAGGGTTGCTCAGACTGTGAGGGGGATTTGGCCACCTCACCAAAAACATGTAATGTATCTTAAAGAGTTTTAAAAAACCCACAAACCCCTAAAATAATATTCTTGAAAAACGTATTTAAAAAAAAGAATAAAGTATTTCCAATACACATTGTATGGGAACATTATATATCCTTTAGTGGAAAGAAATTACTGTCTCTGTGTGGTGTTTAATGACTGTCTCTGCCCTTACCTTCTGCTAAGTCCTGGAACCTGGAGGTGGGGATGGAGGGAGAAAAGAAAAAACAAATCAGTATTACTGGTGAAGTACCAATAATAAGAGTAGCAGAACACTATCACTGTACTTGCTATGGTTTTGTCAAAACAGGAACAACATATTTTGCAGAGGAAGTTACAAAGAGCCCACTCCGTAAGAGACCTGCCTCAGAAATCCCCAAACTCAAACCAAACCACCGAAAGCACCGAGAAAACAGCAATTTAACACTTCTCCATCTGTACCTTGCCTCACACACAACCTGACGTCACATCCTGCAGCACAAACCCACCCTGTGCAGACAAAACCTCAGCTGGCTGCAGTTGCACCAGCGAGGAACAGCAGCACAGGCTCCAGGCAGCTCGTGCACATCGTCCAGGACTGTGACCTGCTCTCGTGACATTGTCACTGGGACAACTGAGGGTGGACAGAGAGAGCAAAGTGACAGCTGTTTAGGACAGGGTGGCACATGCAAGGTGTATTTCCATGGGACTCACTTTTTGACCAGCTTGTACAGACGCTTCCTGTTCAGGGAAGGTGTGTTTTTCTTGCTCGCCAATTCGAAGAGTTTGTCCGCAACAGACTTGTAATCAAACTGTCAGAAGGAGAGTACAACACAGTTTTTTTGAGTTTATTCATGCAAGATGACCCAGTGCAACTCATGTTGCCGATACTTCAAGTATTGATTAAACAGCCACTTCCTTTAAAGCCAAAATATTTTTCTCTGTTGAAGTTTATGCCCTGTTCACACACATATAGTGACTTTTTCAGATTGTTGCTTCATTAACAGAACAGCTGAACTCAGTATCGCTGTCTCAAATGCTCTTAACCTTATTTCTTGCTCAACCTACTTCGAAACTCCCATAAATATTTAGCTAAATATTGGATTTAAAGTGTGTCACGTCCTAATTCTTGCTTGAAAGCCACAAAAGCACGAAGTGCATCTGTTTGATGGGTGGATCTGTCAGAAACACTACACTGCACTGGGTCTAGAAAACACAAATTGTAGCATATTGCTCTCACTCCTATGTATCCCATCACTCATTACTTTTGCTCTTACTGTCAATGAAACTTAAGCTGATTGCTTCACCACCCACAGTGACCTGGCATTTAGGACATATTTTTTAACTCTTGAAACAGGAAGGGAGATGACAGAGAACAGAAGGTATGGGAGATAGGAAAGAAGAATTTAGAATTTAGACTTGGATTTATTTTACTACAACTCACAGAGTACACATTACACTTAACATCACCTTACATTAAACCAGAAGAAAATTAAAATTTTGTAATATTTATCCATTAATGCCCTTTATTTTTGTACCTTTTGAAAGGGATGGGAAAAAAGAAAAGAGAGGAGTATCAATAACAAAGAAGCCACAAACCTGAAGAACAGTCCCGATCCCATCATCAGCATTTTCATCAATATCCTCTGTTTTTTCAGAGCTCTGTGCTGATTTTCTTGAAAAACATCTGTCTGCTATGATAGAAAAAAGACTGAGTATTAATGCTTGTTTGAGATAGTAAATCCAAAAGTGCAAGGAGTGAAGACAGGAAAACACAATTATCCTTACAACACCCCGAACAGAGCAGAAATGAAATGTATTTTTGAGAAAATCTTACCAGGGCTATTTAGAACCTCCTCCTCACCTTTGGTTTTAGGCACCTCCTCCTCTTCCTGTTTGTCTTCTTCGGAAACATCCTCCTCATCACTGTTGCTACCCAGTTCTCTCATCAGGTCCTCGATGGCGAAGGGGGACTGATCCACAATCAGCTCAAAGATTCCGGTGGCTACAGCGTGCAGCAAACACCGGCTGTATGAGGAGAGAGCAGGGGCAGAGCTGAAAGGCAGAAGTGTAAACACCCTCCCCCCTCACACCAAATAAAGTGGAAATCTGAGGGACACAGAGAAAGAAGTGGAAGAACATCTAGCTCTTCAGATGAGGGAACTGGACAAGTTATTCCCTAAACAGAATCCAGTGTTCTGCTGGTGTCCCTCTCTTAAGTTTCACTGCTTATACATTGCAACAAAGACAACCAGCTCAGCTGCTCTGTGAATGTTAAAAAAATAAAATAACTAGATATATTAACCAACAGAGGTTGGTAATAGTCCTTATAAACCCATGATTACCTATAGATTTGACAAACACAAGTTATTTTCAAAGGACTGTGCACACTACTGGTAAAATACCCTTCCTTTCTCTACATTCTGAGGTTCCTTTCTCTAAGACATTCTTCATTTATTACCATGTGGAGTGGTAAATTCAGATTTTCTTAATTCTTAAAAAATATTTGTCTCTTTTCATTAAACTTACTCCTTTGATTTGGCAGCAAGTCTGCAGAAAGGTTCAATGAACTTGAGATTCTGGTCTGCTGTGAGCTGTATGATCAGAAAGAAAAAAGTAGTGAGTACAGTAAATATTGTATGTGTACGCTCAAATTCCTGGAATATTTGGCGTTTGGGTGATCTTCTTTAACGAAGTCTTTCAGCACACTAATTCCAGTTGACAGGAGTATTTAGGGATTTTTGTTACCACTGCTACCATTAACTTCCAGATATTCCCTGGAAGTATTATAGAAACAGTGACTGTCCTGCAGACTTTATTCTGCTGAGTACAAAAATATAACAAAGCTTCTTGTTTTAGTTATGGAAACATGAAGCAGAGAAAGCTTGAATAATTTTGTGCACTTTCACAGAGAAGGTCTGTAGCAGACAAGAATAAGATCTGGGTGTCTCTTAACTGGACTCCTTGGACCAAAACCCTGTCAGCTCCAGTAGTGCTAAAGATAAATATCCTTCCCTGAATTCAATTTATGAGCATCATCTGTGATTTCAAATAGTCTAGGGGACTAACTCTTCAGGCTTCCTGTGAGTGGCTTAGCTACAGTTTTGTGTCTGTGGAGCTGCAGAAATGATTTGGGCTCCAAGTACAGGCACTTCTCTGTTGCAGAGATCTTTCCTCTCACGCTCCACAATCCAGAAGCACAAAAGCTGTGGGCAGGATTGCTTGCAATACTGCAAGGAATACAAATGCAAGGAGAAGTCTCAGAGGCCAGAGACAAGGGAAGGTAACTGAGCAGGCTTGATGTCAGCTTTTGCAAAAGCAAAGACTGAAAAACATGTTCACACAAAGGAAAAGACACTAAGTCCCTTCTGTTGAAACAAACAAATGAGACTGGTCTAACTTTTCTGTTGCTATTTCCAACCTCAGTTTGGAGCAGCACAGCACTTTCTTCATGGTTACTCCATGTGGCTAGGTTACAATTAAAACTGTTAAAAAATACGTAATCTAAAAATGACATTTCTTCTAAAATGTTGCATGCTACAGTTGACATTAACCAGGAAGAAAAGGACAAGATATTTTCTAACCTCCTTTGCACCAACTTTAGCCAATTCATCCAGATAGATATCAATGAAATGTAACTTTATCCCACTGGGAGAATTGCTGTCTGGGTCCATAACTTCTTTCATTAGCAGCTGCAGTAATGGTTCAACTAGACTAAAAAAAAAAAAAAGAGGAAAAAATAAGATATTCATATTCAATTGCCCATGCTTTATTTGCCTTGAAAACAAACTCTAGTCATTCACAGCTTTACCAGTTCTTTACAGTTCTATATGGATATCCAACTCAAACGAGAAATAAATCCAGAGATCAAATTTCACATCTTAAAGCAAACTTTAAAAAAGATCCAGCCATGATCAGAACGTCCTTATGATCTAGGTGACTCTGCAGCATCAGACAATCCACTCAGCACAGTTTGCTACAATGAAAATCACTGTTTTAGAATTCACACCTTAATTTGGGCTGAAGTTTATTATGCCATGTTATTGATGGATAGGAGGAGGAATTCTGCCATTTGAGCAGCTGTTACATGAATCCATCCTTGATGGGCAGCACCTTGCACCCTTCCATTTGAAGATGGAACTCTCTGCCACTGTTAAAGCTGGGTCTGACATTACTGTGAATGATTAAAATTGCCCTTTTTAATGAGGAATAAGAGAAAGCTGTAGGTGGGAAGTTGGGGTGAACACAGACAAGGGAAGAGAAAGGGTATCTGGAAAGAAAGGGAAGAGAATGTGATAGAACATAACTTGTTTAGACTGCAGGTGCCAATGGCGGTAAATAGAGGGAAGTGAATGAAAGAAAGAAGGAAATAACATTCATTCACTTGAGTCTGTGAGGGGAAGGATGCTGCAGTCAGTGCAGTAAAATTCAAGGTAACATGCCTCCATTTTCCTTTTTTCTAGAATCTACCTACAGAGGCACAAATGAGACCCAGTTTCTAGATACAGGACTTCTACATAGCCAGAGATGCCAGTAATCTTCTTTTATAGTTAGATCTGATGATAGGAAAGGAAGAGAAGTCCATGAGACAATTTTCCATTTTGGTCAATGCCCAAGGATTAAATTTAATACTGAACCTTCTCAAACTCATTTCAGCTGTGCAGAATTTGCTTTTCGTTAAATCATGTTATTCACTGTCCCTTACAGCAAGACAATCACACTGAAGAACAGACTGAGAGCTAAACTAAGCATAAAAAACATCACCATTCCAACAGTTCAAGCCAGAACTGACTGAGAAGTGCACAAGTAGCTCTGTGGCTCAGTTATTCACTTCTGGGGTACTAACAAATACTGCTGGAGTGACATTGCTCAGAAACATGCTCTCACTGCTGCAGCTGAGCAGCAGTTGGGATTTTTTTCCTTTTCTTTTGTGTTTTTTTTTCCCTCTTTTTCCCAAGGCCTATCATTGCTATCTTTCAGGAAAGTGAAGCTATTTATATTCCAAGCTTTCTCCCCTGGCGTTCTTTGGCCCTTCCTACAATTTTGCCCAGAACAAACATTTCCAGTCCCAAAGAGAATTCAAAGCATTCAAAACCATAAAGATTATTTCAGTTTAGTACACCTTCTTCCAAAAGCATTTTAAAAGAAAAGGGAAATGAAAGACATGCCAGGCAGCTTCTAGGCTCCACTTAGGAGGGAAAGGCAGTTCTTGAGCTCCCTCACTCTGCAAAGAAAGGAATCATGAGATTCTCCTCCCACACTGCCTCCACTGGTGCTGAACAGCCTTCAGGACATCCTTCCAGTGGCACTGGAAAAACGGAAGCCAAAGCCATAAGAAACCTTGTCAGAGATCAGTTTGGGTGATTGTGTCTCTGCCATGGGAATGTGTGTGGGGAAGAAAGGCTTTGGCTGCATCAATCCCCCTCTCACACCTTCTGCTCCTGTCAAGGAACATTTTCATCTCTTCAAACCTGTGGGCATTTACACAATGCAAAACTAAGGTGGAACAGGAGGAATGTGGTGGACTTCAGCTTTTGCATTCCTTTGTACTTCCACATGCCTGGATGGCTTCTTTATGATGCAACTCCATTCAGGAATCTCCTTACCTTTCATCCCACTCATTTCTTTTCAGCACCTCAAAGGACTGCCTCAAAATCAGACGCATCAGCTGCAAAGTACAAAGTTTAGTTATACATGCTGTTCATGAAAACAGGCAAAGGGGTCTCTGTCACTGAAATATGAACAGACTTCTCAGTAAACCTCTTTGTAGCACAGGGTAGAAGCTACCTCATGAACATTTTGACAGGCTTTTCCATCATATAAAGCAACAGAAGGATGCTGTGAAGCTCAAAAGACAACAAACTATTTTCATATACTAAGCACAGAAACATCCATGACCATTTCCACTATCAGCTTCCTCTTGCTCCATCACCCTGATTTCTCCATAACTGCTGCCAAATCTAAGCTTCAACTGAAGAAACATGGGACAGATGACAACAATAATAATTTAATTAACTTGAAACTTGCAGTAAGATACAGTCATATGTAAAATAGCTTCACTCAGCTGGCTCAAAACACTTCACTTACTGAAATAACTGGTATCTGGCTAACATTGTGAAACAAAAATCAGCAGTGAATGTGCTGCAATTAACTTTTTTTCAAAGATGAGGATTAATGGGATTTTGTTCCTTACAAAAGCAGGTCTTTTAAGATTCTTCTTTCACTGATTTTACTGCTTGTTTTAATATACTGTTTCCTATAGAATGAATTCAGACAGACAGCTGAATGTACTACAGTGGATACTTTAATGGTAGAAAATTGGAGCTCTAGTTACAATTACTTTACACAGAGCCATAAAGAAGCCTTTAAACAGTCTGATCTAAATAATTATGTTGGTACAGTGGCCTTTGAGATTGATTTGTATATGGAACACAAACACTATGAGAAAAATCACTAGGTTATAAAGGCAGACAAGAAAGCACTTGTATAAACTTATATAAACTGCAATGGCTTTTAGATTTGCAGTGGTGAGTGAAAGACTTTAAAACAAGTATCTCTTGCAGTGGCTCAGGAAGATGTCCCTTGTCTTGTCTTGCAATATACATAAATGCACGTGCAGGGAAAGCTGCCTTCCAGCACACCACCAGCACATCCCTTCTAGGAGAAAAATGTATTAAATTTAAGTGCAGGTTGATATTTCAGATGAGCTATTACCATGTAGTACTTATCGAGGCGCAGGTTGTCTATCCCGCTCCACTCGCGGCTCATCGTTTGCCAAAACGTCTGGAGGAACAGGTGTCCTGGGAGAGAGTGAGGGAAAAACACCTGCAGGTCTGGCACAACAGGTTACCTTGCTAACCTGAAGGAACCTCAGGAAATCCCTTCAATGTGAGAAAGGGATGCAGTTTTTCGGTTTTTGGTGTGTTTGGTTTTTTTTAAGTTAATTCCCACTTTACCAATAGTTTTATTCCTTACTACGGGTTTGTTTTGATAGAATAAACTTCTAGCAATCAACACATTTATTTCTGTATGAAACTGTAAATCAAAAACCCAAGGCAACCACAATGAAAATACTTCCAATACAGTTAGCCTTGAGATGTAGTAACACCTGAGTTCTAACAAAAATATTTAGCAAACAGTATTTTCACTACTGACAGTATAAAAATTCTAGCCAAATTCACACATCGTAGAAGGAAAGTATTACATGGAAAATAAAATTCTACTCTCAGGGAGAGTTGCTCAAAAACTGGATCTTTCATGACACCAAACAAGTGAGAGCAAAATATCCATTCTGCACCTTTTTCTATCCAGGCAAGTATTAGCACTGACCGAGCACTCTATTTCAAGTGCATTTTGAATTATTAGGGGCTTAACAGGTCATGAAACAAGGTTGGTTTTGAGCAGGAAATACACAGAACAGTCTGTGCAGAATGGAGAAGCAAAGGAAGAAGTTTGTTTTGCTGCCCATCCTGCAAAGTCTCCCCTTTATCACACTGGAGATACAACTCCCTCTGCAGCAGCCACAAACAAAGGGCATTTCGTGCTTCCCTTAATGCAATCACACACACCAGCTGGACAAAAAGGGAAAGGAAAAAACCAGAGAGCATCCCTATCTGTCTGACTCTATTCTGGCACTGTGATAGTGGCCTAAAAATCACCAAAAATTAAAGTACCTCAATAAAGCATTAAATAGCTTAAATAGTACTTACGAGCCTCTGTATTTTGAAACACGTGGATAAGCTGTGAGATATTTGCTGCAAGTTCCTCCTAAAAGTAAATAAATACAGTTAGTGTAGCACGTTTCAGAGCTTGGTCTCTTCACTAAAGAGACAACCAGAAAAAGCAAGAAGTAAAAATTTCATGAAACATCTCTCAAGATGAAAAATATTCTCTCAACAGCTGCTTTAGTACTGCAGTTATCCTTCCACTGGGTCAGTTGGAAGAGAGGTTTGAGGGGTATCAGAACCTGTCCATTTCACCAGATCTCTGCACAAATCATCTTTCTGACAGCAGACAAAATTAAATGAGGAGGAGGAAAATCTCGTGTATTTGGATTAACAAATGATATAAAACTTCAGGGGAACTCTTCTCAGATAGGTCTTTGTGGAGCTGTCTGTGCTATGTGTGAGAAAAACGTTCAGATAGACAAGTGATCTGAAAACTGGTTAAATGAGGTTACTGAGAGCTGGTACTCCAAAACTAGACCCAAAAGCAAATACAAAAACAGTTACTATACCTGTAGCAGAGGTTTATCCTGCATCCACATACAATAGAACAGGCCCTTCCATATTTTCAGCAGTTCTTCCTGGCTGAAGCCACCTACAGTGCAGAAGAAGGAATGAAATAAAAAAAGAAACACCCACATTTTCACAAAAATATTTTCATGCAGTTCCCCGCTTTCTTCTCTGGTTTTGTTGTATCTCTTGCGTAAATACTGGCTGCTACTGTAAACACACTGACTGGAAGGCAACTTGGCATAGATCAGTGATTACACCTGGTACCAAAGTGAAAAAGACTGCAAAGAAATCACAGATGAGATAAACACCAAGATAATTCTGATATATGTCAGAAATATTTTTAGCAGCAAGTCTAAAAGACATTTTTAACGAGGGCATCACAACTATTTTTGCCAGAAAAGTGATGTGCAAATCCTCAAACATAACTGATATGGCTTTTGGGTTTGTTTGGGTTTTTTTTAATGTAAATTCCCACTTTACCAACAGTTTTATTCCTTACTACGGGTTTGTTTTGATAGAATAAACTTCCAGCAATCAACGCATTTATTTCTGTATGAAACAGTAAATCAAAAACCCTCAGCAACTACAATGAAAATACTTCCAATACAGTTAGTCTTGAGATACAGTAACACCTGCATTTTAACAAAAATATTTAGCAAGAAATATTTTCACTACTGACAGTATAAAAATTCTAGTCAAATTCACACATCAGAGAAGGAAATTATTACATGGAAAATAAAATTCTACTCTCAGGGAGAGCTGCTCAAAAACTGGATCTTTCATGACATCAACTATGTTCCTGGGAGGTAAAATTATAACAGTATATTGGTACAAGGCAGCTACAACGACCTACTACAGCTATTTTCAAACTATGACCTACTAAGTACTCCCAAGTAATTGCAAGAAAATCACTTTAGAAAGGCAATCATCTTCAGTGAGCTCAAATCTGTTCCAAAAAGATCACTGTCACTTTTGACAAACTTTCAGGTGTCTCCCAATCAAAGAGACCCAGTGCTAGATCTAAATTGTGCACCTCCTCCTTGGACCAACACATGCATCATTTAAACAAAAAAAACTACAAACACAATAGTTGAATTGTCTGCACTTGGGCTTGGTTAAAAAGAAAGGAAGCAGAGCTGAGTGAGGGAAATATGCAAAATGCTATGGAGGAAGAAACATGTTCAGTAATGCTAAGCATTAATTATAAATTTAGCTTAGATTTGACACTAATGTTAAGAGTAAATATGAAGCAATTTGGTCCACTGATTTAATATGCATTGAAATATTAAAATTAATAACATTTTTAACAGAATAATATGTTATATACCTATTGGTAAGAAGCAGGCTGAACCTCACACACAGGTTAACCCTACAGAGACAAGGGACAGTAATTTGCTGCCTATAGAGATGGCTCAGGAGTTCACAGAATTGAATCATAGAATCATTTAGATTGGAAAAGCCCTCTAAGGTCATCAAGTCCAACCATTAACACAGCACTTACCAAGACCACCACTAACTCATATCCCCCAGGGCCACATCTACACATCTTTTAAATCCCCTCAGGGAGGGAGACTCCACCACTGCCCTGGGCAGCCTGTTCCAGGGCTGGACAAACCTTTTGGTGAAGAAAAGGTTGCTTTTCATACATAAAGAGCTTTTTAAAGTGTCCTGGGCAGTTCTGTGTCCATTTGACACAGGATTCTAGACAAAAGGTTTCAGATCAAGCTCCTTATCCTACTCAATCAAAAAGTAGTTTCGAGATTGTGTTTTCTGTTTTTCAACTTTGTGTGCCGTCCCCAGCCACAGCTGGAAAACAACAATCATTCAAGCAAGGTTATTTTAGAACCTGAATGTATTGTATTAGCAACCAGAGTGCACAAAACTGAAGGACTTCTTTACCTTAAAGCTACCTTGAGAAATATTTTGGCTTTAGGGCTTGAACTGTAACTCTGTCCCCCAGTGTGGGGGCTTGGATTAGTAATGTTACTCTCACTGATACTTTAATGTAAGGCTTGTCAGCATTTCTGTTGGGAACTTTGCTTTGATATTGCTACCATTAAAATTGTTGCAATTTTTCCTATTCTAGGTAGTCTCCAAGGACGAGATCCACACAGTCACACTTCAGTGGAAATTACATAAATCCTTTCTAGATCTGGGCCCAAGCAAGTGTAGCTCTGTCAGACAGAAAACCACACAGTAATATTTCCTCTTTTATTGAGTTATTCCCCTTTTCTCTTCTTTCATCAATCCATTTATAAACACACCCTCCTATTTTTTCTGGCACGGTACAGCATGCTCTTCTCCTTCAAGGCAGCTAACAAGAAAAAAAACACAACAAAAAGGATCCCTTCCAAGGAATAAGGTGCTCATCCAAGCTCACCTGCACACATGATGACCTCAGTAGCTCTATGCATTCCATAGAGTTTAATTTCTTGCTGGAAATTAATAGCTCTGGCCTTCTAAAGAAGCTTCCCCAGCACAGACCACTCTGAGCAGTCCTGCCTACGAAACACCTGACTGAGGTGAACATCAGGTGAACTCCAGCACTTCCTTCAAAACTCAGCATGTCCTCAGCTCCTCAGGTTAGGGCATCCTACCTGGGCTGTGAGTCTCATCCTCTCAGAACGCTGGATGGATATAAGGCCTCTAATTAGTAAATTAATTTTAAAAAAATCTCTCTCCTGAACATGCTTTCCCTCCAAGCCCAATGAAGCAAACCTTTACTTCAGTGCTATCAGCTTGAATGGTACTTAACAGTGAGTAAATCTAAGAGCTCTGGAAATAAGTCACCCTTGTTTCCAACTCATTTGCACATCACGGTGTGCTGATTTTAACGTGCAAAACGTTCACATCCCAGCTGAGCAGTTCCCCAGTGCTGGTTTCATGATGTCTTAAGGCAGTAGCTGCACCTGCAACCTCCTCCCTCAGTTAGGGCACTCCTGTCTGTCTCGTGGCTGCTTCCACAAACTCAAAGGAATCTGCACTTTGCAATGGGATGCATGGAGCACTGCTGAACACAGAGGAGCCATGAACGGCCTAGGAAGCCTCCAGAGCTAAAGACAGCAAGAGGGTCAGAAAGTACTTGGCAGGTATATGATGTATCCTTGCTTGTACTAGTCCTCAGGCTATCCCTAGGTCTTTGATAACTGCCAGGAATGGGATAATGGGCTGTTTGGCTCCCTGGCCTGACCCTGTAAGGTTGTTCTATGTGCCCTTCCCTCTGTAAATGTGGCTAATGGGTCAAATACTACTTGTCCAGGGAAGAAACAACATCTATTCCTCAGTGTCTTTTCAAGGAATGGACTCGGCTCCAACCAGCATTCCAGGTGCAGTTTAGCTCCCGGGGTCAGGTCTAGGCTAGTTCCCCAAAGCCAAAGGGGTGTGGATGCATAAACCTCTGTAACAGTTTCCCAAATGCTGCAGGAAACTTTATGAGTTCGGACTCAATGCTCTAAAAATGCTCATGACCAGCTTTCCCTCCTCACTGTGTCCAGCTTACACCACAGTGTGCTGGAAAAAGCAGTCCAGAAACACTGGATCCCTTGGGCATGTCTGCACTGTGCTCCTCATCACTCCACCAGGAAGGTTTATTGAGCTGGATCCATGAATTCACACAGTGCTATGATTGACCTCACAAGCTTATAAAATATATAAATAAAAAATATAAAAATATAATATATAAAGATAGAAAAGATAAAATATAGACTTCTATAAATAATATGTATAATATATGCCAATATATATAATATAGACATACTATGTAATAATATATAATTTTAATACGATATATAATTAAATAATGCACAGAATAGCTTATAAATATATATTTTATATAGAAAAACTGTTAATTATTTATTTATATGTTATATATTACCTATGTTATATATCCTTTTATAGATAGATGGATTATATAATACAAGGTTATAGGAATAACCTGCATCCATATGGAAAGAGTGCACAGGAGGCACTTTTCAGGTGCAGGCAGCTTCAGACTGGCACTGCCAGACTCAAACTGTCTCCAGGGACACCACTTAGAACTAAGGTGCCAGTACACTGCTACAAATAGGATTTTTGGAAACACTTGGAAAAAAAAGTTTTGGATGTGTGGAGCTAATGAGTAACCCAGACGGGTAACACAGAATCAACAGCAATTATACAAGTGCTGAAACACTCCTGAGCTTTCCTCATTTCCCTCCAACGCTCCTGAACATGATTCATGGAAGCAGGCAGCCACCACCTCACAGAAATAACTGAAAATAAAACTTTATGACGCATTTACGGGGCTGTTTCCAGCCTGGATCAGCTCAGTCCATTTACACCCTGTTCTTGAGAACGGGAGCACAGGAGCCACCCCGCTCCTGTCCCGGGAATGTTAATGCTGCCAGCAAGACCATCCTCGCGGTGCAAGGGGATCTTCCCCGAGCCCCTCCAGCCTCTCCAGTGCCCGGAGACACTTTGGGGAGGGCGAGGAAACGCGAGTCTTTCCGCTTCTCTAAGGGAAGCTGGGGGGAGCTTGGGGCAGCAGCGTGGCGAATGCTCCCTCTGATGAGATAAATGCGTAAAAGTTAAAAAAAAAAGAAAAATAAATAAAGAAGAGGACAAAAAATAAAAAAATAAAAAGGAAGAACAGCGAAAAGAACCCGCAGGAGGCGGCTCCCGGCTCTCCGCACACACGTGGTTCCCTCCCCATCCCGTCCGCCCGCCGGGGCCGCCGCTCCCCCCCTGCCCGGACGGCACCGGGGCCGCTCCCAGACCCCTGTCCCGGTGCCAGATCCTTGTCCCGGTGCCAGATCCTCATCCCGCTCCTTGCCGCGGTCCCCGCCACCCCGGGCCGTACCGGCGAGGCGCTGGGTCCGCACGCCGATGTAGCCCCGCAGCTTTTTGAGGGCGCGGTCCCGGATGCGCTTCTCGTTGGCGGCCAAGCGCTGCGCGAACTGCACCTCTGGCGGCTGCACGGCGGCTGGAACCATGGCCGGGCCGTGCCCCTGTGCCCGTCCCGTGGCTGTCCCGGCCCAGCCCGTCCTGCCCGCGCCCCCCGGGCTCCGCCTGATGCCGTCACGGGCACCGCGCTCTGCCGTCACCGCGGGGAAGGCGGAGCGCCGGGATGGGCGCCGGGAATGCTGCCGGGAGCGCCACGGAAGGTTCGGGAGCTCAGCGGGGCGGCGACACAGGAGGTCCTGGGGTTCCCGCGACCCCCCCCCCCACGGGATCATTTAGGTTGGAGAAGAGCTCTGAGCTCGTGGGGTCCGACGTGGGACTGATCAGCAAGCACCTTGTCAACCAGACCGTGGCACTGGAGAGCCACGTGCAGGCGTTTCTTGAACACCCCCAAGGACGGGGACGCCAGCACCTCCCTGGGCAGCGCACTCCAATGTTTAATCACCTTTTCTGTGAAAAAAATTCATCCTAATGTCCAAACTGAGCTTTCCCTGGCCCAGCTTAAGGCTGTGTCCTCTCATCCTGTTTCTGGTTGCCTGGGAGAAGAGACCAACCCCCACCTGGCTACAAACTCCTCTTAGGTAGTTGTAGAGAGCCATGAGGTCTCCCCTGAGCCTCCTCTTTTCCAGGTTAAGCACGCCCAGCTCCCTCAGCCGCTCCTCATCAGACTTGTGCTCCAGACCCTTCACCAGCTCCGTTGCACTTCTCTGGAGTTGCTCCAGCACCTCAGTGTCGTTCCTGATGTTGCCTAAATGGCAAAAATCAAAACTCCAAGGTATCACTGAATTGAGAGGCCCAGAACTGGATACCGAGGTCGAGGTGTGGCCTCACCAGCGCCGAGCACAGGGGGACAATCACTGTGCTGCTCTTTCTTGTCACACACAGGCCGGGATGCCATTGGCCTTTTTGGCCACCTGGGCACACTCTGGCTCCTGTTCTCCTGACGGTTGGCCACCATCCCCAGGCTCTTTCCCACCTGGCAGCTTTCCATCCCCTCTTCCCCCAGCCTGTAGCACTGCAGGGGGTTCTTGAGACCCAAGTGCAGGACCCGGCACTTCACCTTGTTGAACCTCACACCACTGTCCGCGGCCGGTCCAGATCCCTCCGCAGACCCAGCAGACCAACACTCCCAACAAGCCCAACTTGGTGTCTTCCGCGAATTTACTGCGGTCACCTGCTGTAGCCGCCAACACAGCGACAACGCAGCAGGGCCGGGCTCCCGTTCCCGGTGTTATCCCGGTGTTGTCCCGGTGTTTCCCGGGACCGCTCCCCACGGGCTCGGGGGCGGAGCCTGGCTGGAGACCACGCCCAGCCACGCACCTGACCCCGCCCACTCAGCAGAGGGGGCGTGGCCACGGCGCGGCCCGCCCCGCCCTCAGTCCCTCCCGCCCCGCCCCCCCGAGGCTCTGTCGCCGCTGTCGCCTCTGTCGCGATGTGGCGCTGCGCCGGCCTCGCTGGCGACGCGCAGGTATCGCGAGCGGCCCGCCCGGCGCATGGGGCTGTGCCCGGCCCGGGGGTCGCTGCGGGGTGACCCTGCGGGGGCTTTGGGGGGTTTGTGGCGTCCTGGGCCTTGTGAGGGGGGCCCTGAGGGGCCGCGGGGAGAGGGGAGCGCGGTGGGGGCTGTGGAGCGGTGCCAGGGGCACCCTGGGGTGCTGGGGGGTGAGTGGAGGAAGGGCTGGCAGCGATTCCATGCCGGGTGTTCATCGCCAGCTGGGATCTGTTCAGATCCCACTGCCAGGCGAGGAACGGGGATTCCCTTCAGTGGGAGCTCTGCCCTGTTCAGATCCCACTGCCAGGCGGTGAAGGAATTCCCTTCAGTGGGAGCTCTGCCCCGTTCAGTTCCCACTGCCAGGCGGTGAAGGAATTCCCTTCACCGGATTCACGCCACGCAGGTCGTGACCTCAGGTGCATGACTGAGTTAACTTGACCCTTGTGGAAGAGCTCTGCGAGGACTGGAGTCAAATCCAGGCACCTGGTGTTCCTGTAAGAACTCGACACAAAACTCCTCCGTTGTCTGTATTTGCTTCTAACACACTGTTGTAGTGCAGGGAGGTGCTGAGAAAATGGAACTTGTCCATTGTGGCTGCAGTACTGCGAAGATCTTTGCTTGCAGTGGGAACTGTAAATGAGAATTTTCTCCTTGCCATGTATTTCCTATCTCCATCCCAGTACTTCACGGTGTATTTGGTTTTGAATGTAGCTTCTGCAGGTGAACAGAGCTATTTCTATGCTTTTAAGCCCCAAATTGTGCTGCCTAATTCTCAGCAATGCTGAATTGTCTCTGTCCTTCCTGGTTGCTGACATGCAGATGGTTTTCCTCTATAAAATCCCGTTGCCATGTTCGTATTCCATGCTTTCACGAGACACAAATGAGTTGCATTTTTCTCGAGTCACATCTCGTGGTGGTGGTGGTGGTATTTGACCACACTCACTTTGCCAAAAGCACTTCCTAAGTGCAACTCAGGGCTTGTAATTCCAGTTGAAAGCAAAATCTACCGGACCTTCATTGCAGCTCTGATAGCCCCGAACCAGGAAAGGTGGGAACTGACCTGTTCTGAACCAAAACTGTCTGGCTTTGAAAGACAGCTGGGAAAGAAACAGAGTAGGAAGCAAAACTGAAAGCAAGAGTTTAACCTGAGGAAATAGGGAAGCAGAAAAGAGAGTTTTAGGGAACGGTTGGAAAGGATGACCTCCATTTGTCTTATTCTCAATGCAGTGCAAAACAGTACTAAGATACGTTATAACTTTGCTTTGTGAAAGCTTATAGACTCATAGAATCAACCAGGTTGGAAAAGAACCCTGAGTTTTAGACAAAACACGTTAAAAACCTTGTGTATGTTGGCAGCATTTTTAAGATCCAGCAGTGTGCACATGTGTGTACATCAGAACATAAAGTGCAGGAGCTTTTTGGTACAAAAGTTGTATAATCTTGCAAACTGTAAAATGTATAATTTTAAGATTAGTACACATTCTATTGGAATATGGAACTTAAATTATTTTAAAGCAATAGCTTGGCAGAAGAGGAAACCGGTAAACATTTTGTGTCTTACCTCGTGTTTAAATTGTTTATGTGGGATTTGTTTGCAAATGGCTGCACATCATTTTTGCTCCTCACAAAAGATAAATTTATTTGAAAAAGTACGGTTTCCTCCAAAAGAGCTGTTGTAATTTAGGACTGGGGATCTTGCAAATATTTTAATTAATTAAAAAACTGAGTTATCGTATCCTTTGCAACAGTCGTGAAACAACAGTTTGGCACAGGCATAGCTGCTCACGTTTTAAAATGTGAGTGTTAATTTTTGCAGCATTCTGGGGTACATTGCACACATTTTGGGTGAAGAAGCAGACACAGAGGGGTAATATACTTGATTTAGGCCAGAATGGCAAAAATTAGGTTACAGCAAGGGTCCATTCTCAAAGACTTTTGGGTTTAATTACTGGACTGTTCTCTTTTAAAAGGTTATGAACTTCTGAAATTACATCACACAGAGGAATATTGCTGTCATAGAAAACAGATTCAAGCAGAAAAGCACTGCAAGGCTGTAACAGAGTCTTTGTTTGGTCCTTGGTTTCTTTGTTTTGTTTTGTTTTGTTGTTTTATTTCAGAAGGCCGAGACCAAAGAGGAATTTGTTAAAGTCAGAAGGAGGGATTTGGAAAGGCTGACAACTGAGGTTATGCAATTGCGGGATTTCTTACCCAAAATAGTGAATGGAGATATCCTGGGGACACTCCAGAAACTGGATGCTATTGAATCAAGTGAGTAGTGAGTAGTACCATGTTACAATCTCTTACAGCTTCTGCCCAAACTACTTAGAACAAACTGCTGTGCCCCTAGGAATAGTTGTAGAGTTTGTGGAGTTATTCCAGATTAAACTGTGCTGTTCAGTGGCTGCTCAAGCAAATTAATGTGTCTTTAGTGAAGGAAATTACAGACTGCATTGGAAATAATCAGACATGTCAAATTCATCTTTAAAAATATTTTACTGTGGATAAAAACATACTTAGTTGAGGCAGTAAGGGTTGCTGTATCAGGGAAAAAATGTTTTCCCTTTGAGAGAAGGTGAAAGCATTCTGGTTTTCAAAAAGTCACTTTGCACAGAAAAATAAAAACGAAAAATCATGGTAAATAGCAATGGATAAAAAGTTAGAGACAACATCATTGTATTTTTGGCATATCTTATTTTTTGTTGTGCATATTTTTATTGCTATAAATATTAATAATATAAAAAAAAGGTGAAGACTGTAATAAAAGTGTTTTTACTGCTGTCCCTGAAGACAGTTGCTCAGTGTTATGTTTCTCTATGCATTATTTTTTTAACAATTGCACCATTCCTAACATGCCATGAGGACCAAATTGGAGTCAGCTCCATCCCTAACCTGTAGCTTCCGTGCAGCTGTACAATTCAGCTGTTATCCTAGGAGTTGGTTTTACCTGAAAAGACACAGGACAAGCACTGAGACAGATTACAGAGTCTTGTCTCTTCTAGAATATCAAGTGATAAATGGAAAATTAATTTGCCACAGCTAGCTAGGAAAGAGTAAGATAGAGCCCCAGGGCCTGTCTCTGACCGAGCAACATTGGGGCAGAACTTCCAGCTGCCTCAATGAGCTCCACTTTGGAAAGATTATTCCTTGCCATCAAATCCTAACAAAGATGGGAAGGCTGTACCACCTCTCCTGCTGCTGGCTGACATCCATGTCACAAGCAGAGATGTAGGATCTGGAAATGTTCTCTTTGTGCTGTTGCAAGACATCAAGAACTTGTTTCCAGTTGCATTAAGTGTTCAAGATCCTCAACTAAGTCAGATCCTTCTTTTACCTACTTATTTCTCTTTCATTTCTCTCACTGATCCTTCTTATGTCCCTTGTGCCAGGCATCAAGGAGACGCTGTCAGGGTCTTCTAGCTGCAGGTTTGTGGAATCAACATGGGGATTTTAAGACTTCTTTAAATGTTCTGCTGTCTGGCCAGCATTCTCAGGGTCCTCAGGGGGAGGACCTGAAGCTGAGTCAGCCTTTGAACTCTATTGGGTATATTCTCACAGCAGAGTCTTCTCTTGCAATTAATGAGGTCGTTTAATATTTGTTCAGGCTCTGGCCATTGTTTGCCCCTGCAGCTGGACAAGTCGAAGTGGTGATTTTTGCTGCTCCAATCTGCTCCTACCTCTGCATCATGCCATAAGGCAGAAGGAGGCTTTGAAGCATACAGATCACAAAAGGCGGGACATCAGAGGGTCACAAGCAGCCTTCACTCTCAGAATGACGCTGTTTATTACATTCAGTCTCTTGGTGTGGCACGTGAAGCTTGCAGGAGTCCTGGCAGCTCCTGGAGATGTTTTTTCACGTTCTTGCAGAAGCCTAGTGTGTGATTTGTGCATCTCTCTACAGACTTTTATCTGCTGTTGAAATTTTCCAAGTACTGTGAACACAAAGTTCTTCCTCTTCTTGGCAAATTCTCACGTTCCTCAAGAAGTACAGATTACAGTCAGAGACTTTCAACACCTCTGGCCCATTTGGTCGTGAGACAGATGGAGTCTTGAATAGCTTTAAGAAACCTTGAGATCTTTGCATGTTTTACTGGTGTGTCTGGATCAGTAGGACACCCATTTCCTATGGGAGCTTCCCTTGAGTGGTATCTGAGATCTGAGCTGGCAGTGCTTGGTGCAGCCAACACCTACTTTTCAGGCTGGTGTCAGGGTCTTCATTAAGGCTTTTGCCAGGGTAATTGTTCATTTCAAAAAGAAAGGTCTGTTTTGTTCTGGCTGCCCTCCTCAGGGAGAGTGTTTGGCTCCAGGAAATTTAGAAAAACAGCTCCAAAAATCTTTCTGTGCTATTATGCTTAGTGGAACATAAGGATGATGCCTAAGTCTTTTCAGTGGTGTCCAGCGACAGGATGAGGAGCAATGGCCTAAAACACAAGAAGTTCCACCTCAACGTGAAGAAGACAATTTTATTTGAAGGTGGCAGAGCACTGGAATAGGTTTTACAGGGAGCTTGTGGAGTCTCCCTCTCTGGAGACATTCCAAACGCACCTGGATGTGTTCCTGTGTCAGCTGCTCCAGGTCTTCCTGCCTTGGCAGGGGTTGGACTGGATGATCTTCTGAGGAACCTTCCAACCCTGACTATTCTGTGATTCTGTGAACTCAGTCCACTGGGGAAGTGTTAAAAATAGCATTTAACATAGATCCAGG